TAGGTATTTGTGCGCAACGCGAACGTGACCTGCAGAAAAGCAAGAAAACGTGAGAGAGTAAGATTGAGAACGCCTGCACAAAAAATATACCGCAAAATAATTCCAAAATTCACTAGCTCGTTTGAGCTCATGAAGAAGCATTTTATGAGCTGCTCACCTCACGAATACTACCGTTCATTCCTCACCATATGAATTCGTGAGTTTTTGGCTTACATTGCTGAGGTTATTGATATACTTTACACTCATGGTCTACACCACAATACAAGTCCACTTGCGGCACGGGTGTATGTACACCGCAGTTTCCAATGGAATCCGCTCGCTATAGTATTCTCGCTTCGTCTTCTATTAATGAAACGGCCGGCTCTCGCTGAGCAGAGGCTCATAGGTTTGAGGCTGTAGATAGCCAGCTCTCAAGATTCTTGAGACGTTAAACAACTTGGGGCCTCTTTAGCTAAGTACTCACTTACCTCAAGACGGCAGACAACCTAGGGCCTCTCTCACCAACTACTTACTTACCTTAGGATGGTACAGAGTTTAGGGCCTCTATCACCAACTACTTACTTACCTTAGGATGGTACAGAGTTAAGGGCCTCTATCACTAACTACTCACTCACCTTAGGATGGTACAGAGTTTAGGGCCTCTATCACTACTTACTTACCTTAGGATGGTACAGAGTTTAGGGCCTCTATCACTAACTACTTACCTTAGGATGGTACAGAGTTTAGGGCCTCTATCACTAACTACCTACCTTAGGATGGTACAGAGTTTAGGGCCTCTATCACTAACTACCTACCTTAGGATGGTACAGAGTTTAGGGCCTCTATCACTAACTACTTTCCCACCTTAAGACGGTATAAAACTTACTAAATCAAGGTAAGATCGTTTCACTAGCGGACAAGAAGGTGTAAGATTAATTAAGTTCCTCAGGCTCACCCTTGAGGTAAGTACACATGATCCTACTCAATCTGATTTTTGAGGTTTGTTCTTTTGCTTTGGAGACTGAGGGACTAGTAAAACATACTTGGGTTTTCTTTTTCAAGTTCGTGAGGTTGGAGCTCTAACCTCATCTTAAGGGGTTAGTGAAAGAGATCCTATCTCTCTATTCTGTTCGATCCACCTTTCTGTGTTTTTTTCTCGTTCGGATGATTATCCGATTCGGACGGTCCATGTAGGGTCATGAATTGGATATCATATATCCATGAAAAAAATCAATTGAAAGTGAGATATTATTTCAGTTTTTATTGATATTTTTCATGGAAGCAGCGACCGTTGGGGAAACTGAGCAAGATAGGTGGGAGAATTGGGATGAGAACTCGATGATCGATTTGGTGACATAGTCTGTATCTACCGCCGGAGTTTTGTTGTATTGTATTTAGGCATGCTGGTAGAGGGTTGAAAAGTCTCGCGTTGTCGGTTGGGACTCCGTTTGGGATGTGGGTCGAAGTGCTGTTACCAAGCGGGTTCTGGAAGTGGCTTATGATGCTTATTGGTAGTTATAATGGAGTAGTAGTAATAATAGTAGTAATAGTAGTAATAGTAGTAACAGTAGTAATAGTAGTAATAGTGGTAATAATAATAATAATAATAGTAGTAGAAGTAGTAGTAGTAGTAGTAGTAGTAGTAGTAGTAGTAGTAGTAGTAGTAGTAGTAGATTCCAACGCTGGTAGAAGAGCGCACCCGCAAGATTTTCAGAAACTGGGGGAATATTTGTGGAATTTTTCCTACGACTCCGGTCTTCAAATTGTGCAAATTTCCATAGCATTGTCACATACGTGAGAGAGGATCATTTTGATGATAGACGACGACGGAGCGGTGGTGTTGAAGGATTCGAAGAGGGTTGAGCTTGCGAGGCTACAATTGATAAAAGTGGGAAGGGATGATGATAGTGTTCGAGTGGCTCAGGGTCCCTTTTAGCATTGAGAAATAATGTTCTCCCGGAAAAATTTTACTAATGTGATGACATTTACATGGGGAACTGATCGAAAAATGTGGAAAATTCCAAACTAGTTTTCCTCGGAAACATTATAGGTTTATGGATGTTCCCTTGGAGTGGTTGGGTAGAGAAGTTCATCGTGGTGTGGTATAGAAGTGTATTTATTAATTCTGCAGAATTTATGGTTATATGTAGTCTTCGATAAGGTAGTGCCGAATTGGAAACTACCGGTGTTGTGGCGAAAATGGCTGGCGGAAAACGGCAGACCGTATAGTGTGCAGTTTACTGTGTTGGAGATGGAGGTAATATTTGGGCCTATTTTGTATCTTTGGGGAAGCAACCTTGGATACTCTTCGTGCCGTTCTTGATTATTGACTTTTATGCAACTTTTGTGACTACTATTTATTTTCAGTAGGTCGATCGAAAGAGTGAAGCCCCTACGAGTCGTTGCTTGTTGGCTTCTTGTAGTACTATTCAAGAACTTGATGTAGGGTTTATCGCGACTACTTATAATCTAGTTTTAAATAGGTGTTGGTCTTAGCTACGGAGCGCCGGGTTAAAGGAAGGGAGAAAATTGGTGTAATATGGGAGGGGTCGTTTTTCGATGGGTTTTCACTCGTGATATGAAAAACACTAGTGAAAAGACGTATTCCACAAACCACTGCATAGCACGGATATTGGGTTTTCCACTGAGTATCATGCCACTTCACGTAAAACGGGTAATGAACTCAAATGAACGATTATGTGATGTTGATATTGAGTGTCAGACATATACAGCGTGTGTCAACTTGATATGCGAATATGTGTTATTTTCTGAGATTAATGAGGATCAATCTGAAACTATATCGCATAAACAATGTAACAATGGCTATGAACATTTGTTGTGATAAAGTAATACTGTGATAGCGACAACTTGTTCACTACAATTCGCCCTCTGAAATGACACATTTGCATATCAAATTGGTACGTACTGTAGTTTGTAGATAGAATTGCCGAGCGAGCGGTTCAGATTTTCTGTGTGTTCGTTGAAATTATTTCTCTACGACTACACCAGTTGAGCTCTCGAGACACATACCACTCGGAAGAGCGAAGTTCGTGAATTCTGCTAAAATATTAAAGTACTCCCATGCCCATCATTTAGCGTGTATGGGCTTAACTGTTGTGCGCCGTGACTGTTAGCAAGCGGAAATGCTCGAAAAAAGCCTCTGTTGGGAATCGAACCTGCGACTGTGGCAAACGATCCGAACTTGAACTGATCACTCTTCCTACTACGATGGAGACGCTCGCTACACTACAGTTTCTAATAATCGCCGATTATTAGTGGGGAATTTTTCCCGGTTATTAATCCGGAAAAAATTACCCGGGTATCTTGACAGGTAATTTTATTCGAGCGACAGGTGTTAGTGTTGAACCCCTATAGTGGCCTTTGGGAAAAGCGCCTTGTTAAAATCGAACGAGGTTGGCTTTTATTATATAACGGAGTGAGGAGGCGGAGCGAAGCGTTTTTTGTTTGACATTTTTGTAGATCTCGAATGGATCGGAGTTGTTGAAATCGATGCCTTTATCGATTAATTTGACGATCAGGAGTTTATGCAACCCGCACGACTGTAATAAAAGTGAACTTCGTTTTGATTCTTTTGTGGATTTTCCTATCCCCATTTGACCGAACACGCAGAAATATATGTAATATGCTAGTATAATTTCTCGATAATTTTTTTATAATTGTCGTATAGTAATTCTTGTATGCGTTCGACATTGGAGCTTCACTCGTTTAGCGCGAAGTGGCGCAATACTGCATTTAAAGGTTGAGGCGTGAATGTTGTCGCGAAATGAATTGTAAAGCACGTTGTCGTTCTCCCGTTATATGGAGTTCGATGGAGTTTCACCCGTTTTACGTGAAGTGGCGTCATATTCTGTGGTGAACCCGATATTCGCGGTGATATGCAGTAGTCGTGAAATATATTTTTACTAGTGTTTCTCATATCACTAGGGTGAAACTCCAATATGCGAACGAATAGATATACTGTGCGTGCGCACGGTCATCTTAGCACGTTACAATGCTGAGAGATTGTATGAATATTCGCCGTATTACCCGAGCATGGGAAAACGCACGCACAGTATGTATTTGATGAATAGATAGAGAACACAGCTAATTCTATTTTAAGGTACGCCCTTCACTCGAGGTGTGCTCGGCGAGATGCTGTGTAGGGGAGGGGATATATGGGAAGCCGGACTGGAGTTGTGTTCGGTTGCTGCTGATGATGACGACCAGAAGGACGGGGACATGCATCACATAGTAGTAGCGCAGTTTGGAGGCGATCTAAATTATATTAGATGTGAATTAGGTGTGGAATTTGCAAGGCTTTCGAAACGGTATGAAACTCATTGAATAGTTCTCACTTATCGTAGAGAAATGCAGATTTTAGCATTTTCTTTGGTGGCTATTACGCATAGATTTTAACAGCGATTGTGGAATATTCCCTGTAGGTTTTATGCTGTTATTTATCCATGTGCAGCGGAGTGTATGAAATTTTTGATTGCTCGAAGTACGTTTTTTGGTGGTAGATTCTGATGATACCACGCTCGTGTGAAGAGAGGGATACCTTAGTGTCAGCAATACGGCAAGCGATGGTGGTGAGAGTCGACCCACGATACGGTACGTTTGGGGGGGCGCACATAGGAAAGCTATAATCTTCCCGGAGGGAACTAAGTTCGAAGTCTCAACCACAATTGCAATACATGAGCTCGGGAGTTTTTTATCAATAATCATAGAAGCTCATATACGTATAAGGACAGAAGTATGGAGAAACCAGCGAGAATTTCCAAAAATTTTTCAGAATTTCAATGTTGCCACTAACACATGTGGTTGACTATGTGCAATTTCTACCACACTGATCTCAACATTCTTCAATCAGTTTCCCATGTAAATGTCATCACATTAGGAACATTTTTTTTCTCATTTTTATCAAACTCTGGTGAACGGTATAGGCACAGTTCACGAGGGGGAGAATTTGAAGAGAAAAGTGCAGAAGTTGATTGGTGAAGTGAAGATGTTGAAAAACGAAGTGGAATTGGCTCGGAAATTGACGGTGAGGAATTCACTCCAGCAGAGATTGCCAACTAAATTCGCGGCACGATCATCGAGTACGTTGATGCCCAGCGGGGTGGAGCAGGAGGAGGAGGAGGGTCTGTTGCAGGTGGTGAATGAGATTGTTTTTAGTGACATAGTCTGGATGGGAGATATATTTGATTTTCTCGGCTGAGCTGTGTTGGGAGAATTTGTAGATGGCTTTGGGTAAAAATGTGAAAAAAACGAGTAGAAATTCCGAAGAAATTTCCAATTTTTTTGATTGGTATTAACGAGCGTAGTTTACATGTGCATATTACTATGCAAATGTGAAGAATGTGTGTTTTCTATTCCGGGATTAATGATAGTGAACAACTTGTCGCTATCATAGTCTCGAAAGGTTACTTTTGTCACATCGCATGTTCATAGCAATGTTTACATTGTTTATGCGATATAGTTTCAGATCGATTCTTATTAATCTCAGAAATTAACACACATTTGCATCATATCAAATTCACACGCATTGCGTAGTAGCAATCTTCGGAGATGAGTTGATATCACAGGTGGTGTCCCGGGTGAAGCTTCGGGCGAAAGAGCGATTAAAGTGGGTACATGAAAACGAGTGTTGATTTCTATTATGGCCTTGTGTAATAGCTGTTGTGTTTGCCGTGGTTGTAGTAGCATTTGGTTTAAGGGAGGTTATTATTTGTAGTGCAATATGCAGTCTGCATTGGAAGATGGCATGCAGGTTGGTGAGATTTGGAGTTGATATTTTTATCGACATATGATTGAGTTTCATCACCCTAGTGATATGAAAAACACTAGTGAAAAATCACCGCGAATATCGCGTTTTTCACCGAGTTTTACGCCACTTCACGTAAAACGGGTTCTTGTGAAACTCTATTGTAATCACTGACGCTGAGCTGAGAGGCAATTGTGTGAGACGGTGTGGATATGATCATGCCCTACATTCAGGCACTCCAGGCGAGGGCATCTAGGGTGGTGGATTCTATTAAGACTACGCTTAGTCCTGGACAGGAGTTCGCGGCTTTGCGAGAAGATGGAGATCAGCAGTTTGGTGGTAGTAGTAGTAGTAGTAGTAGTAGTAGTAGTAGTAGTAGTAGTAGTAGTAGTAGTAGCACTGGATCGAATATTTGATCGTGTTTCGTGGTAGTGGAGGAGTTTATCATGTGTGAGTGTCAACGTGTGTTGGTGACAATATGAAAGTTCTGATGAAATCATTGAGGAAATTCTTATTGGTTTCTGTACACTTCTACTCGAGTTCGTGTGTCAACTTCGTGAGCTCAGTTGAGGAAAACGATTACATATATTCCTCCAACACTGCATGCGATACTCCTGTTATCCATGTTGGAAATTGTGTTCGCTCCCCTCAGCTGAGCTCAGGAGATTCCTCACTATTTATAAGAGTTTATATACGAGTTAGGGTAGAAGTGTATAGAAACCAATAAGAATCTCCGAAAATTTTCTCGAAATTTCTATATTGTCAACGACGCATGTACAGTAGGAGTCAATTTTATATGCAAATGTGATGAATGTGTGTTATTTTGGAGGACAAATGATAGTGCATAAGTTGTCGCTATCAAAGTCAAAAACGGGTACTCTCATGTTTATAGCCATTATTCGCATTGTATATGCGGTATAGTTTCAGATTGATTTTCATACGCACTTTTCATATCACATAGACACGCACTGTAGTTGACCATGTGCGTATTTTCCCATACTGCATGGTATTAGCAAGAAGAGCAAGAATGTGCTTTTTAGAAGATCCTGTGTGTGTGAGGCGGCCGTACGGCGGTGTTGGAATTGGCCGGGGCTTGGCAATTTCGGAGTCGCCGCCGGTGAGGTATGCACCTAGACGACATCAAGTGAGTATGGTGGGTGATCGTTGAATTGTAGGGAGGTTCGGCAGGGTGTGGTATGAAGGGCCGTATTGTTTTAGTCGGGAGATCTCGCTGGGCGGCTGAGAAAAACGACTGACGTCGCGTCTACTCGGCTGACGATGTCCCCGGTGAGTGTAGTTGATAAAAATCTCTAAAAGTTGTCTTTATTGGTAAAGTTGAGATCAATCTGTCATCAGAGTTTCACCCGTTTTACGTGAAGTGGCGAAATACTCTGTGAAAAACACGTTATTCGCGATATGAAGTGGTTTGTGAAATATAGTTTTCATTTCACGGGTGAAACTCCATTGAAATGGAAATTCTAGAGGTGGACGGAATTTGTATCGTTCTGTTGACATAAAATTTGGGAGGAGTTTTGGGCATATGTGGTTTCTTTGCTCAGCTGAGCTCAGGAGTTACCTAATTATAGGAGTTTTTATCAGAATTAGGGTAGAAATGTTTAGAAAAATTTTAGAAATTTCCTCAAAATTTTTGTACGTGCATATTTCCCTATACCACCCCTACGTGTAAATTGAAAAACGAGGCGGCCTTGTGGGTGGAGACGAATCCGATACAGTAGGAGTTAATGCAAATGTGATGAATGTGTGATATTTTGGAGGGCAAATGATAGTGAACAAGTTGTCGCTATCACAGTCCCAAACGGGTACTCTTATCACAACACATTTTCATAGCCATTATTTACATTGTTTATACGATATAGTTTCCAGTGTTGGAATGAATGTTCGTATTCCTCAGCTAAGCTCAAGAGTTTCCTCACTGATTATAGAAATTTACATACGAATTCGGGTAGAAGTAGTGTACAGAAACCAATGAGAATTTCCTCAATTTTCCTCGGAATTTCCACAAATTTCACCTACATGTGTAGTTGACTACGTGCATATTTTCCCACCCTGATAGTTTCAGATTGATACGCACTTTTCATATTTGCATATCAAATAGACATTCACTGTCGATTATTCGGGCGCGCGCTATTTGCAACAATGACTCTCTTCTGTTGAGTTGTGTTGTAGGTCGTTGATTCCGCCATGTGTGGTAGGAGGAGGTCGACGGGTTCGAATATGATGAAGTTGCGTAGCCGAGGAGAGACACCGATGAGCAGTTCACCCACGTTGGACAGTTTATTGTCGCAACCGATACTGGCAGACCCGCATAGTCCTGTGGTGGACGCGGCGTTTGATGTGGTGCCGTCGGTGGGGATTGAACCTGCGCGAGATCCGGTGCCGGAGGTTGAGTTTAATCCGCATGGAGATTTGGGGGAGTTGGCTGATTTGTCGGCACTTTATGATGAAGTTGGTGCACCGGTGAATGCTGTTGAAGAAGAGGACGGTGGGGGGATTGAACCTGAGTCATTGGTTGAGGAGCTGAGGAAGATTCCAACAGACCAGTTGGTGGCTTTGATACGTCGAGTGATCGAATTGCGACCTGATGTAGCGGCGTCATTTTGATGAAAATTTTAGAAGTATTCATCCCAGGGAATTCCTCTCGAACTGTAGTTACCATTGGAGTTTCACCCGTTTTACGTGAGGTGGCGTAATACCCTATGAAATTCCGATATTCGCAGTGATATGTAGTAGTCGTGAAATATATTTTTCACTAGCGTTTTTCATACCACTAGGGTGAAACTCCATTATTATATAACATTTCTTCAATGCCATCATTTTGCTGACGTACATAACGTCCGATCGCTGAAGAGTAGTAAACAGAAGTCGACTCTGTCGTGGTCTGTAATTGTAATTTCATGTTTCAACTTTTTAATGACCTTGTGTTTTCCGATTGGCAATTTTTGGTTTTTTTATGGTGATTCTGAGGTCTCCGGAAACACACTGTGGTTTGAGGTTAACTGCTGAAGTGATGTTAGGGGGGAAAATATATTAAATTTGCATTGATTGAGTTTCCAAAATGAGAGTATCCAGAAATCTTCCGGCTGCGTAATTTTGAATTGCTTCAGTTGCTTCAAAATAGCGCCTTGTTTTATCGATGAGTTGCGCATGCGTGCGCTCGGTTGATGTAGATGATAGCATTTCGAGTTGTCGTCGGAGTTGTGATGAAGTCGCCGCCGCACTACACTTGCAAGGAGTTGAGCAGTGGAGGAGGAAACATTATGTATTTCTACAGGTGAGTTGGGAAATCTTCGCTGTGCGGTGGATATCAAATTCACATTGAAACGGGCAGTGTAATGGAGTTTCACCCTAGTGATATGAAAAACAGTAGTGGAAAAGATATTTTACGACTACTACAGTATACCGCGAATATCGCGTTTTTCACCAAGTTTTACGCCACTTCGCGTAAAACGAGTTGTTGTGAAACTCCAATGTTTCTCGATGAAAATTTCATTATTAAATTATTTTTCAGATAATAAATGAATGATAAAATTAATTTTATTTTCAACAACATCTGGTATGAAGAGTGGAGTTTCAGCCTAGTGATATGGAAAACACTAGTGAAAAAAATATTTCACGACTACTGCATATCACCGCGAATAACGGCGTTTTTTCCACAGGGCATCGCGCCACTTCATGTGGAATGGACGAAGCACAATTGTTGAAGTTTCAGCTCTGAACTCATCATTCGTTGACGAGAAACGAATTCGCAGAAGACAAAAATACATTTTTTATATCAGCTTTAAGAGATCGTCGTGAAGTGTGTTTGGTGAAATTAATGCATTTTAGATTGTTCGATAGATGCTTTGAATAACCTAATTTTTCTCATAGTGCGGGTCGATAATTCAACGCTTTCATGATTTCAGCACGGCATTTGGGGACACGACACAGATTTAGTGGCAGTGAGAGAAGCCTTATTGGGAGAATGCACGACACGTGTTTCGGAGACTACTGGCATTCACATCGATCCGGAAACGCAAGAGGAGGTTGAAGTGATTACGGTCATTTCTGATGTAAATACGGGGAAAACTCACGACGGTGTCAAAGAAGGCGGGGAGAATCTCTTCCGGTGAGTGTCTGACTCGACGATTATACGTGGGTGAAAAATTCCGGATTCGTGACGATTTTACCCATTGTAGAGGTTTTTCGCTCAGGTTAATAGAAGATACGTGTGAGCCGGGCAGTTTAATATCCCTCATCGGTCACTCTCTTGGGGGCCTCTACTGTCGAGCGGCATTGAAGCTCTTAGCTGCACAACAATCGCGATGTAAGTCTGGAAAATTTCGCGCGCCACGAAATTCATCCGGGTGTGATGTGGTTTGAAGAAATTAATTCTTGCGAGTATCAGGGATCGAACCCGGGACCTTTCGCTTCAGATCCATACACTGACCCCAGTAGGACTGTTGGCACTTTGGGATTGGTCCCAGTCAACTACATATCATTTGCGACTCCGCATCTGGGACTACGAGAAATGCCAGCGTAATTTGGATAGAAGTTTTCTTTTTGAAACTGATGAATTTCAGAGTTGTACAATTTGGTGCTCTCGTGGTGAGCGGCAAGACAGGCTCGGACTTGCTACTGAGATCTGATACTCTCGGGGAGTGGTTGATTGACGAGGTAAGCTACTGATTTCTTGGGACGTTTTAGCACGGGTTACTTCGTTCACGGTTGAATCTCTTCGTTGCTGATTCCTAGTTCGGGGGAAGAGTTGTATACTCTTGAGTGAATAATTGATATTATCGATGAAGTTTCACCCTAGTGATATGAAAAGCACCAGTGAAAAACATATTTCACGACTACTGCATGTCACCGCGAATATCGCGTTTTTCACCGAGTTTTACGCCACTTCGCGTAAAACGG